AACCAACTCTAGGCAATTATACAACTTTGGAACAACATGAGTCCCTGATTCAGACCAAAAACTGATGTATATCATGTGAAACTATAAAATATATATTTTAATACTGTTAAACTAGTGTGTTCACATTTTATTTTTTTTCACAAATTCTAATACTGTCATGCAAAAGCGTTGAACTGCTCCTGACTCCTCGGTGGTCCTTGGGTTTGAGAGACTTGTGTTGCACTGACAACACCTGGCCAATGGGTGGCAGTGTGCAGCATGACGCACGAGGTTCCACTACAGTGACTTAAGTGCAACTCCAGCATCAAAACCCATGCATGTACAAGAAAATGGCTTTTAAATAGCTGCTCACTGCAGCGACCACTATACGTGAAAGGGTTAGAAGCGGTCAGAGCAGGTGCAGAAAAAAAAAACTGAGCGCTCTGAAAAAAAACATGGGGTGCTGTGCTTTTCCCTCGGTGGCTGCATGCAGCTGCATATGCTCTCTGTCTGCACTGGACACCCTTAAAAATGTTTCATCTAACCACAGGTGGCGCCCTACACAACCTGTCTGATCAACGGTATCTACTGGGCCCCCCAAACCCCCCGACTCCTCAGACGACTGGACGCCCAGAGGCTGATCAGACCGCTCAAGGGCTCGCCTGAAGCCACAGAGGGATCACCAGGGCTGCCTCACAAGTAAGAACATCACAGCCTCACAGGGAGAGACGTTCAGACACAGAGGATGTACCTGACACACCGACAGCTGAGTGTCGTAGTGAATGGATAGAAGTGCAGTCTGGTAGCTGCTGTATCTCTACAGAGGTCAAAGGTCACATACTTATCTTCAGTCATGTTTACAGAGTGTAAGTTCAACCTGTTGCTGTGACCTCTTCTCTCTCTCTCCAGACTACTGGCCATCTGTGACATATCTGCCGACACCGGAGGCTCCATAGAGTTCATGACCGAGTGCACCACCATCGACAAGCCTTTCTGCATGTACGACGCTGACCAGCACATAGATCACAACAGGTAGAGTGCTAACAGTCCTGACCTGTGTCTCCTCACCAGCATCACCTGTTTGTCTCAGTGTTTCTTCTGTTTAAGACTTTCACTTTCACTCAGCTGATCTGCAGTCAGACATGAGAGGCTTCAGGTTATTATTGTTTCAGTTTGTAACACATTTAATATCTGTGAACTTAAATTATTGCTGCAGAAACTCTCTCTTCAGGCTGTGAGATGTGTTAGGGTTTAATTTATTGTTTAATAGTTTCAGATGTTGGTCTGAATTATTTTTATTTGTGGGTTTTAAACTTTTCCCAGGCTGCATTTAAGATATTACTTTTTGAAGATCTGTTATGCTATTTAAAACATTTTTTCTCTAACTTAGTGTTTTTGGCCAGGTCATGCTTTATTTTATTATTTCAGCGAGGCTTTCCTGGTTAAATTAGATTTTTTCTGACACTGTTTTTATGCCTCCACTGTCCTCCTGGGCTCCACTTAGTTGACATCAAGAGGAGTTACTCCAAATGTTGCGCAATAATAGTAGGGCTAATGGGCATGTAGCTACTTCCATGTTTCACATGATACGTCATGTTTGTAGTCGACCAATGAAGATGAGTTTACATATCACCTTGGGTTCGTCCTTCACCTTCTCAAAATGATCCCACACTTTGGATTTCCTGCCCGACATGTTATTAACTAGCCTGTGGAATAACCGCAGGTACCAGCCCTGGAGATTAGGGGCTGTCGACATGCCGTGTCTCCTGGAAAACATGAGGTCAGGCGCTGGGCGCTACTCTTGTGTCTTTTCTGTGCCAGCTTTCAAGAGCGCAGCAGCAGGTTGTGTCTGAGGTTGCTAAGCAACCTCAACAAGCATCATATAGCCTATTTACCTGAAATCCCGAGAGCAGAGCTGATCTTCTTCCAGGAGCTGTTTATAAGTGTGTAGACCTATCGTCTGTGGGACAGATGTAAAGCTCTGGGCAGCCCTGCACTAACATGATCAACTTTTCTGTGTTTATCAGACTGAATATTTACAGAAGAAGGGAAAGATAATCTGTCGGCTGTGATCGGTTTGTAACCTGACTCCTGTCTGACTGCTGAGCGTGGCCACTTCCTGTGTCTGTCCTTTCAAATTAAATTCCCACATGGTCCAGTCATATAGGTTTTGATTTATTTTGACATTTTGACAAGGTGCAGCTTCTGATAGAGTTTGACTTTTATTTTGTTTTTTGTTTTTTTCTGAGACTAAGCGACCAATAAAATCTTGCTGACTAATGACCTTTCTGGTCAACTAACATTTGGTCAGCTATCAGGGGGCAGCCCTAGGAACATGAAATCACCTTTTGTTTTTTCATATGAAAAAATGCTGAACACTGCCCAACTCTTCTTCTGTGGTGGTGATGAAGTTGAAAATTCAGCTCTAAAAAAACTGTTGGCAAAAATATGTAACTGATTTAATGATTATGATCTTTATGCTATCATTAGCTGGGTGTAATGATTGACACTCTGTCTTTATTGCAGTCTTAGGGTAAACATGTGCTAATCATACTATATGTAATAAATATTAATGCTTGTGGTCCTGACAGTGTGGAGGGAAACGGGATCCTCATGTGCTCCATCGACAACCTTCCTGCTCAGCTCCCCATCGGAGCCACAGAGTACTTTGGAGACCGACTCTTCCCCTACATCTGGGAGATGGTAAGACGTCTGGGAAAGTTAAGGAGAGGTCAGTAGAGCTGCCCGTTTCTGCTTCTGTCTGGCTTCTGGTTGAGTTTGCTGTGGGAGAGCGCTGCAGCAGGTTTCATGTGGTAAACTGGGTAAATAAAAAACCCGACAGACAGGACTTGTCTTTTTGCCGGTTTCTGTTTTTTTAATTTTATTTTGAAATGTAGAAAAGTAACACACACAAAGGGCTGTGGTGAGGTGCTGATCACTGGATGTGGACTAGACAGTAGAAAAAGACGTCGACCCTGTGGCTCTGGATTCAGATGAGGTTTCAACAATCAGGCCTTCTTTAAGATCCACCATCATAGTAAGCCAGTGATCCGGTATAAAGGCCACACCTTAGTTACACATCTTATGATGATTAGGGGGTACATTACAGCAAAAGTCATAGTCTGTATTCAGTCCATGAGGTGACGGGTTTCTCACACGGTGGAAGCAGCAGTGTAACATCCAAATTCCTTCCTCTTTTAATTGGTAATGAATTTAGTGTTTTGTCACCATCAGCTGCCTTCAGACGCCACCAGACCGCTGGATGAAGAGGACTTTAGCCCGCAAGTCAGAGACGTAAGTCACGTCACATTAATAGTAGAGAAGTGTTTCACTGTATTTGCCACAGACGCATGTTGCTGCTGTTCTGAAATCTTCTATTTCTTCAGGCCTGAAAGTCTGAACGAAGGTTTTTGATTTTTGTTACGTTGTTTACGTTGATCTCACTTAGTCTTGATATGTCATCGCAGTAAGAACTCTACGTGAGGTAACTTCTGTCCAGACTGTGGCAGAATCTGTTTTTTTCATATCTTCCTGAAATTTCATTGGGGTCTACTGTACATGACGGTATTAGTGTGCTAGTGTGCGGTACCACCTACCCACACCCACCCCATCCCCCCGGTGCAGGGACTTTGCCATGTTTCACAAGCTTCCCTAACTTTTTCAGTCTAATGAATAAACTCCGTCAACCAGGGTTGGAAATGAACATTTTTGTCCACCTGCCACTGTGGCTGGTTTCCAGATTACCATTGTTTTATTGGCTGCTGAGTGAAGAAAATCCAGCAGCCACTTACATATTTTACCAGCATTTGACTGTTGCCAACCCTGCTGTCTACTCACAAAATGTCTAGACAGGTAGAGTGCTCCAGGGATGATATTTTCTTGTGGGCTGACGCAGCATTAGCGTCACCCTGGTTCCCTCATCAAAAAGCCAGTGTGATTCTTCCATTGGATTTTGGATTATTGCAGAAAATAAGGTCTGTGGTAAACAGAAGTTTATGATATGTAGATGTTTTGTTCAGCTAGAGGCCTTAATGCTTTTGCCATGGGTAAAAAGCTAACATTATAAATGAGCAACACCATGATGATATTCTGTAGTTTCATTTAGACACTTAGCAATCGCCTTTTTTAAGACACATAGATGCTTCAAAATTCACATGTGGGGTATCTACCGACATATTTCATGTCGTAGAACAAAACGTAAAAGTCTCTTAGGCTGCTTTCACACCTGCCCTGTTTGGTTTGGTTCGGTCAAACTCAAGTTCATTTGCCCCCTCAGTGCAGTTCGTTTGGGCAGGTGTGAACACATCAATCACACTCAGGTGTGAACACACCAAAATAACCGGACTGAGACCTTCTTGAAGAGGTGGTCTCAGTCCGGTTCCAAAGGAACTCTGGTGCGGTTGGTTTGTGGTGAGAAGGTGTTCCGACCTGGATGTGAAGC